TTTTTTAGTTTTCAAAACAATTTTAAAAATGACAAAAAGAATACGTTTTCAACAATCTCAAAATGAACACTCAAAACACAAAATTCAAAATTAATTCAAAACGAAAAACACAAAACTGGAATACGAAGAGAACATCTCCTTATTGACTATTAGGCCATGTTTGAAAAGCAAAATTTTCCTTGGAACTTGGAAAATGTTTTCCTTTTCCTTGATTTTGGCATATTTGATCTACAAAATTTTCCCATCTATTTCTTTTCCTGGTAGCTGCTTCACGCGCCTTTATTCCTTGGTTTTAATGATTTTCCAGGTAGCTGTTCAATGTTTTTTTCTTTTTTTGGCAATGGGAACAAATGTTACAACCAATTGTAAAAAAAAAAAATAAAATTCACTTTAATGGACAATTTCTACATAAAATAAAGTCAAATGAACACTAAACTTTGATAAAAAAAAAAAATGATTTTTTAGGAAACAATTTTTTTTCGTTTTTTTTTTTTTTTACTGTTTAGCAATGGAAACAAATTTTATAACCAATCGTGGAAAAAAATATCACTTTAATGGGCAATTTTCATGTAAAACAAAACTAAACAAACACAAAATTTAAAAATTTATCGAGTGGAAAATTATACCAATCAAATACACTTAATTAACAATTCCCTACAAAACAATTTTTAGTCAATTACTTTTCCTAGAATTCATTTTCTTTCCACCCATTTTCCACCCTTGCAATCAAACGCACCCTAACTTTTATCAAAATTTACTAAAAATCTGATTTTAATCTCCACTGTTTGACTTCAATCTCCACCCATTTTAATCATACATTTCCAAACCACATATGTCGTAGGACCCGTTTTCTTCCAACGACTTGTTTAAGGAATTTATAGATTTTAGAACTCGTTTAAATGTCATAAATTGTATCCGTCCAGCATCAATTCATCGTGGAAGCACCTTGACCAAGAAGAGAACTTAAAGATGGGGTAAAGATTTAATCACGGCCATTTCACCCTTCAACATGATTATTTATAAGTCGAATTACGAATTCGCTTGAGTAATTATTATTTAAAATTTTCAACACGAATTCACGTGTTCCTATATAAATAATTTTAAAACAAAACATATTATTTACTTAGATCGAGTTTACTGCGATCTAAACATACAAATGGAAATAACTATCGACCAATAATAGAAATGATCTTAAAATGCCAATTTTGATAAAAGGGTAGTAAAATCCTTATATATATTATCTAAATTTCTATATTTAATCGATGTATGGATATTATTACTAATGTACACTCCAAAACATTTGACTCACTTAAACACATCAATCTTGGAATTCAAGCTTGTTTGATTTTGCTGTCATATGGAGTCTCGTAGTTTTATCAAAAAAGGGTAGCATTCTTAGGAGTAGTAGTTGAAATTGGTTAATCTTTTCACCTTTAATTGGTGTGAGATTTCACTCTTAAAAGTTCCTGTTTTTTGTTCATTTTCATGGGAATTTCATGGTTTGCAAAAACTAGTTCTATAAAGCCAATAAAAAGACCAATATTAATTAAAAATAAATCATCTCGACATCTTCATTTCTCCATAAAGATCCCACAACAT